AAAGTGGAGGGGGGAGTCTCAGCACCGGCTATAATAACCTACTATTAGAGGATGTTCCATTAAATATACGACAAAATAGCTGGATACGAATGAATGGTGCTCCTGCGCATTTTAGAAGAATAATACAACAATGGCTTAGTGGAAGTTATATGAGATGGTGGATAGGTAGAAGACCAGCCAGATCGCCAAATCTAAACTCTCTGGACTTCTATGTTTGGGGTGACCTACCTGAGAAGTTTACTCTTCTCCAATAGATACTAGACCACAACTACTGCTGCGAATAGAAGACGGGTGCAATGAATTAAAACAAAACCACCACATGATATTAGCTTACATTAGTTCCATTAATAGAAGATGTGAGAAATGTATATATGTGGGTGGTTCGCATTTTAAACAATTGCTGTAAATACGTAACGTTAATTTTGTTTCTTGTTTAGTTGTTGTTGCTTGGTAAATGTATTTTTATTATTATTTTGATTTAAATTGTTCATATTTGTAAAGATAATGCCTCCAGGGAAAACTAAAACACACCAGGAACACTACCTCACAAGTGACGTGAAAAGAATTTTGTTGATGTGCTTACAAATTACACTTACTTTTAAGCATAGACATTAATATTTTTGTAATATTATAATTTGAAGTGTCCGCCACAAGGGGATTGTATTTGTATGAATAACTTGAAAATGGTGAACCTTAGGGAAAAAATTCAGGTCACATTTTTTACTTATGTAGTGCATTAGAATATAAATCCGTTACAATAACTTGTAAAAAATACAGTGGCGTAGGTTTTTTTTATAAAAAGGGGGTGACCCCTGTCCAGTTGTACACCACTGNTTTGTACCATTAATTATAACCGGCCATGATTTAGTACGATAGTTTTTGGTTATATTTTATCAAAAAAGTGGTTGCCGTACAGGAATTAATGATCTTATCGAAAAAAATAAAACTCAATTCCAAAATACAAGTAATTGTTTATAAACTTTTGCATTAACCATAATTTTCAGACGGCATAGCTGCTAAGAATTATTTGGAGAGTTAAATAATCATGTGGAATCGATGGCGTACATTTTTCAATGACTTGAAACAATGGGGGCTAAAATAGAGGGTTGCGCCCTGCTTTTCTAACCCCTGTATCAGCAGATACGTACAGCGTCACTAAAAAAGTTATCTACATATCAATCCGAAATTTGTAGTATAAATGCCGTACTGTAGTAAATCACCAAAAACCGGGTCAAAATTTTCAGAAAATCAAAAATTTTCCTGGTTTCCGGTATTGCTATTTTTGTACGGTATTAGGTCCAGTTGGGGTTTTTGTATAACATAATATATCGTTTAGAAATGCCGATAACCATCCTCCTCCCCTCCTTCCTTAGTGGACAGGTTTAGATTACCTGTGTACTCACCTATACCAACAAGAATTGACGTTTCTAAAACTTCCGATGGGCTTGTAGTCCAGTAAAATTATCAAAATAATAATAAGAACGAATACTGACCTAATGGAGTAACGATGGCAAAAGTTCCAATATAAAGCAGCACCAGAAGAACCTTCGTCTTAGAAGTTACCAGTTCCACACCCACACAAAAAGCAATTACTAACTTATGGGTAGCAATAGCTGCAAATAAATACCAAACTTTATCGACACTACCCTCCAAACCCACAGCCAATCCCTCGAAGACGGCGTGGAAACTTAAGGCTAACACTGCCAAGAAACCAGTGAAAGAACTTTTTAGTGAATCGTTCATGTGATGATGAGCATGTGACTGTTTCTCTACATTAATAGTCGTCTGAGAATTAAACAATTCTTTGTTTGAGGTGCTGATGTAACTTATGCTTCCATCATCTAATTTCGTTAAAGTTACTCTGGGTATTGAGAGTTCGTCCTTTGAACTACAACTTTTCACTGATAAAGACCGATGTAGAGCGTTGTTGTGCACTTTCCTGTCTAGTAACATATGCACCGTCTCTTCTATGAAATACACGAAGAAAAATCCAAAACAGAACACTATTTCCGACAGTGGGATATTTTTTCCAAATTCGGGTATAGCGTCCCGTTTCCCCAAAGACTCAAAACTTTCTCGAACTTCAGGTTGTAGATGAATAAACGTTGTAAATAGTAAGACGCCACCACCGAAACATAGTAATAATGATATTAACAAGTTTTTATCTCCGTCCACTGATTTTATCGAAATTAGTTTTGTTAATTTTATCGGTAGAATTCCTAACAGAAACGAACAAACTCCTAACACAGCCATTGATACGAATTTTGCTAACATCAGATCATTGTTTGCAGCTTCCTGCGCTGCCGAATTTTTTAATACACTCTCCATTTTGTATATAAATATATCACAGTGTTTATCACTATTACTCTATATGTATAGCTGCCTGCAAGGGTTTCAACTATCCAGTTAACAGTGCAGCGTCATCTTAACTGCATCTTACGGTAATCTGAAACAAAACAAATCAATGGATAAGCGTTGTTAAAGTTATTTTATATATTTCGTTATTTAACTATGCAACATATTTTGAAATAAAAGCAGATATACCTTAAATAATAAACAAATACACCACTCCTCCTAATGACCCACCATTACCATACTCGATAAGCATAAGCCAAACAATTTAATGTAATTCTCTACTTAACATTCCGATAATTTTCGCGTCATTTTAAAATAGTTGTTAACAATTTTAAGTACGTATAACTTATCAAGACCCTACATTCAAGGAAAATTATGCTTTAATATACTATATCGTAACTTTTACATTATCTTGAGTTTAACTTTGGAATTTATAAGCGTTAAGTTAAAACAGCAGGTATTCGGAAGATGAAAGTACAGCATTATACAGGGATGGCCAGAAGTACGGAATAAAATTCATATCTTTTAAGTTATTTTTTTTTAAAACGCCGAAACACGTTAACTGATTTTGATTTTTTCCCATCTTCCGGTTATATAATAATAAATTTTTCTTCAACCCCCTAATCCCCAGCTACCCCTACTTTTTTTTTCAAATGGAAACATAAGGTATGAGGGGGCTCGTTGAAAAGCTTATAGAAAACCGAATCCAGCCATA